TTTCCCCGCGGTTCCCCCCCGGAGCCAGGCGCGGCGCGGGACGGCGGCGCCCCGGGATCAGTGCCACCCTGTGCCTTCAGAGCCCAGGTAAGCGCGCCGTGCCCGGGACGCTGCCAGCGACGGGCAGCCACGGCTGCTGCGGGCACGCCGTGGCCAAACCCCCCTGCAGCCCCCTGCAAGGGGTGCCCGGCCTCGCTGGGACTGGAGCGAAATACATGACAGATGGCTTCAAAAACCAAAAAGGCAATTTATCAAAGGGGAAGGGTTTGGAACATGTCCTTTGAAATCCCAACTCGTTTAGCATTTTTAGCAGCTGAAATAATTTTTGGAGCATCTGATGAGAGCTCTGAGTGCTTCCTTCCCTCCTCTCCCTCGCCAAGCCATCCGTTCGAGGGCTGCCACTGGCACAGCAAGTTCCCTGCTTTGTTGCCATTGGAGTTTTTCATTGCAATGGGGGGATGAGCTGTGCTGTGTCCCTTTGAAATCTTCTGTGGCTTTGCAGAGGGCGGAAGAACCGTACTCTGCGATTCTTCAAACAGAACTTACATGGGAATGTGCCTCGTGTGCTTCCCTTCCTCCCTCACTCTGTCCTGATCTTCCGTTCTCTCTCCACCAAAACGATGGGAATTAACCATTGCCATTAGCCATAGCAAGTACCAGATCACTGGGACAATTAGCTGAGGGGTGAAGGAAGCACCTTTTTGTCACAGCAGCTGCTGGACCGTCCTGGTGATTTGAAACTGCTCCAAAACATTGCAGCTCCCCCAGGGCACGTGGGTGATGGGGAGTTCATTGGTGTGTGGCCCCCAGACAGCTGCCATGAGAGCAGATCCGGCTCACGGAGAGGTTTTCCAGCCTCCCCACGTAACCCGGCCACGGGCAGGGACGATTTCAGCCTGGGCCCATGGGCAGCTGCGGGGCAGAGCCCAGCTCCCCCGCTGGGAACCTCTGGGGATGCTGCACACCTCTCAGAAAAGAGGATAACGAGGCCCTGGAGGAGATTAAAGTTCGCTCCTTCTGCTGTGAATCTGGAGGACAAACAGCCTCTGATCCCAGTCCAAAGGGGAGATCCAGGGCCTTTAAGTCTCCTAAGCCGCGTTCGTTTGGGCTCGGCCGGGAGCTGCAGCTCCTGCTGATGCCAGGCTGGGGGCTCTGTGCCAGGCTGGGTGGGGGGCACATCCCCCAAATCCGGGCTCTCCCCTGGGCTCGGGGCAGCGAGGCCGTGCACTTGGTTAAGTGGCATTGTCCAGCCAGAGCTGTGCTTAGAATCCTGTGTCATGCCTAGAAAAACCTAACAGTGTCTTGGACTGGGACTTGTTTGCTTCTTTCATCGCGAGTCAAATCCTGGGTTTCCTAGGATGGAGCTGTGAAATAAAGCTGGTTTGTTTTAAGGACACTCAGGGAAGTGTGGGGGTGACTTTGGGAGCTAAATCTTTGTGCATTTTGGGGAGGGGGGGGTGACCGAGGTGTGACATCCCCCAGTGAGGGGCGTGAGGTTCTGCTTCAAAGCTTCCCCTTCCCAGGATTTCCATTAGAAATAGCCCAATCCTCAGTCCCCTCCCAGACTCCCGAGGTGCAGTAAGCGTCACCCAACACACCCTGCCTGTCGCAGGGACCCAGCGGGCTGGACGAGAGCAGCTTTCCTCTGCAGAGTGGAGCTCGCGGTGCCAAAGCCGGAGGTGCTGCCAGGTGTGCGGGCACGGGGCTGCCAAACGAGCACGGGAAGGGGACGAACCGGCGGCGCCGAGGCGTGCCTAACGCAATTACACATCTCCCTCCTCGCCGCAGCAACCGCCGAAGCGGCGCTAATGGCGCGCCGATACCTGCGGGGAGAGCCGGGCAGCAGCTGCCGGGACAGCGAGCGGCCAGCGCAGGTTCTGGAGCAGCGCTTCCCCAGATCCCCTCTGCCAGCCCTCGCTGGCACCGGGGGCTGTGGCTGCTGCTGGAGGGCGTTCCTCCCTCCTTTCCAAAGCCACCCCTGGCCGCTCCTGACCTGGAGTGATCCGGGAATGTCCCGCTGCTGGCTGGGACAGTGTCACCCTGCCAGTGCACCTTTCATTCCAAGAGCCTTGAAGCGCTTCAGCAGCACGTTGCAGTGCTTTCATAACCTGGCTTTTATTTACACCTCATTCCTGGCTTTGGGACCTTCCCTGGAATAATCAGGATGACTCCGGGGTTATTCCAGCACGTGCAGGCCCTGTCCCGTGGCTGCTCGCACTTCTGGGTTTGTGTGTTTGTGTCAGTGAGGGGAAACAAGCAGAAAAGTCAAATATTTGTACATGTCCACCTAAAGGCGGCTTTCCCAAGGGCGCTGCCATATCACACTCCAGGAGGTGATTTTGGAAAGTGCAGGAGGTTTTTGGGAGTCTTTGAGCCCCGAAAATAGTCAGTCATCCACATTTAGAAATGGATTTATCAGGTATGGCGCAAGCTCCCCCAGGATGCACTGCTTCCCGTGCCTGGGAGGATTTTCCAAAGGGTTCTCAGTGCCTGGACTTGTTCCCAATTGAATCCCGTTTTTCTACAGGAGTGCCTCTAATTCCTGGGAAGGCTGGGCAGGGTTGGAACTTGGAGTATTTTAGCCTGGCTTAGGTGCTGCTGCCTGCTCTGGGTGAGCAGCAGCTCGAAGCAAATGATGGTGTGTGGCTATAAGGTGATAAGGTGTGTCTATATGGTTATAGCTAATGTTACAGATAGGAGATAATGATGCAGAATAGAATTCTGCAGCAATCCTGAGGGAACACTTGCCCTGCTCCAGGCTCCCCGGGGCAGATCCCATGGGATCCAGGGCTGGGCTCCCTGGGAAGGAGTCCTCCCCTCGTGCTGTGCACAGCAGACCCCACGCGTTCCCCCAGCCCCGACATTCCCCCTCCAGTAATGATTCCTATTAAAGCAGCCGCGCCGCTGCCGGATAATGCGCGCGGGATAAAGGAGGCATTTAAAGGATGGGAAACTAATTGCTTTAGGAATCACATTTGAAAAACGCAGCGTCTTCCTGGAGCAGTGGGAGCGCAGAGCCTCCGCCTTCTAATGAGCTGCCTCCAAAGGAGGCGGATGTGTCATATTTGTCGGGATGAGGCTGCGGAGCTGGGAATAGCCATTACCCTGCTTCCCACGAAGCCATGCAGGTGCTGCGGCGGCTCCGGGAGCTGTCCTCCATGGATGTTAGAGGAATTGGGGGACATCTCTCTCCCCATGGCATCACGCTTCTAAATGAGGCTCGTTTGCTGGGGCCAGCATCTTTCCCTCCTTACTGCTCCGCAATTCTGCGGAGGGAGCCGGGCTGCCGTGCTCACACGGGGAGACAGGCACGATATCCAGGATTACCTGGGTGTGCCAGCAGCCATGTGGCAGCCACGGGAAGGGAGCTGGGAGGCGCAGCCGTGTGCTGTGCGATCAGTGTACCCAGTACCGCACGTAGCCTTGGGAAAACACGGTGGGTGCCCTGGAGATTCACGAGGTGCTGCGGCTTGCTAGGGACCTCGGGATGGTGGTGTGCCACCCGTGCCAGGCAGGGACAGCTCCGCTAGCCCGGGCAGCTCCGAGCCCACGGAGCTGCCTTGGGCACAAGCAGCGGGAAGCGCTCCTGGCACGGGGAGCTCCCTGCAGCTATCCCTGGCCATTCCCTGGCACGGCAGGCAGCGGGTGGGCCCGGGGCCATCCCCGAACCCCACGGCTCTTTGTGCCAGCCCTCCCAGCTCCACGTGTTTACATTCCTTCTGCTTAATATTTCTGCAATCTTCCCTGGCATCATCCGCTCGGGATTTTTCTCCTCCCACTTCACACCTCGGCGGAGCCTTCTGGTCCCGCAGCAGATGCATTGTGAGGCTTCTCCTTCTCCAGCGCCCGCATATGCTCCATTAAAAGTGTTTGTTTCCTTGAGCGGCTCCCGGTTGGGGTGTGACAAAAAAAAAACCAAAAAAAACCCTCCCAACTTTTTTTGGCCTGGGCTCGGCAGCCCCCTGCTGCAGGCGCGGGGTCCCCGTGTCACCCGCCCGCTCCGTGCCAGCGATTTCCCCGTCCTCGGCGGTGCCACCGCCGTGCCACCGGCACCCAAAGATAGCGGCTGGGCTCCGCATCCCCTGCACGGCAGGAACAGGGTGGGAGGTGCCAACTGGGAGCTCCGAAAGCGGCATCGCGCCCGTTGCCTAGCGATGGCAGCGCGGGCAGGCTGGCATCTCCCGGCGGGAACGCCAGCCCCCGCCTGGCACCGGCAGCGGGCTGCTCCGAGGGGAGAGGGCACGCGGGGGTCAGCGCGCGGGAAACTGAGGCACGGCCGCTGCTGCAAGGACGCTGCAAAAACTGCGCCTGTGTTTTTGATTATTTCTTATATATATATCATGCAGACAGAATTCCTGCCTGCATCAACAGCCCCACGCACAGATGTTTATGGAACGGCTGCTGTCTGTAAAATACGCTTTTATTCCTGCTGGAAAAGGCGCTTGGTTACAATTCCTGCAAATGCGGGAATTTCCCAAGGAACAGTGTTCCTCACGCCCCGACGCCTTTGGGAATTCACCTTCCGTGTTCCGCAGCTCTCCCGCTTCCCGTCGCCCGGTTCCCATTCCCTGCGTTCCCTGCTCCGATGTTCCTGGCGTCAGGGAATGAATAATAATTCCTCTAAAAAGTCTTTTCTCCCAGGACAAACAGCCTGGGAGAGGACACCGGTCTCCATGGACAAGCGGAGTCACTCAGTGCGGGGAGCAGAGCTCGGGAAGGGAAAAGGTTTTCCCTTGTGCCGGGAGGAAACGGGAATGGCACCAAATGGCATCGCTCTTCTCCCTCTTCCCACTGCCATTGAGATCTAATAAAGTGAGAAACGCCTCCAGCTGCCCTCCCTTCCCTTTCCGGTGTCCGTGTGAGTTCCTAATGGTGATCTGAAGGAAAAGAAAAAGAAAAAGGAAAAGGAAAAGAAAAAGCAAAAGAAACCACTGAAAGATGAAGGCCGGAGCTGCCCGGGCCTGCAGCGTGGCACGGGCACGCCGGGGCCATTGCCAGGCCTGCAGCGCCGGCGCCGTGCCAGGCCCGGAGCAGAGCCACGAGCCCGGGGGCTGTCCCCATGCCCAGGTAAGTGCAGGGGGGACACGGGCGTGTCCCTGGCACCGCTGAGTGTCCCTGGCACCCCTGAGTGTCCCTGTCCTGAGTGTGTCCCTGTCACCTCTGAGTGTGTCCCTGTCACCGCTGAGTGTCCCTGGCACCGCTGAGTGTGTCCCTGTCCTGAGTGTGTCCCTGTCACCGCTGAGTGTCCCTGGCACNGTTCCCATTCCCTGCGTTCCCTGCTCCGATGTTCCTGGCGTCAGGGAATGAATAATAATTCCTCTAAAAAGTCTTTTCTCCCAGGACAAACAGCCTGGGAGAGGACACCGGTCTCCATGGACAAGCGGAGTCACTCAGTGCGGGGAGCAGAGCTCGGGAAGGGAAAAGGTTTTCCCTTGTGCCGGGAGGAAACGGGAATGGCACCAAATGGCATCGCTCTTCTCCCTCTTCCCACTGCCATTGAGATCTAATAAAGTGAGAAACGCCTCCAGCTGCCCTCCCTTCCCTTTCCGGTGTCCGTGTGAGTTCCTAATGGTGATCTGAAGGAAAAGAAAAAGAAAAAGAAACCACTGAAAGATGAAGGCCGGAGCTGCCCGGGCCTGCAGCGTGGCACGGGCACGCCGGGGCCATTGCCAGGCCTGCAGCGCCGGCACTGTGCCAGGCCCAGAGCAGAGCCACGAGCCCGGGGGCTGTCCCCATGCCCAGGTAAGTGCAGGGGGGACACGGGCGTGTCCCTGGCACCGCTGAGTGTGTCCCTGGCACCGCTGAGTGTCCCTGGCACCTCTGAGTGTCCCTGGCACCGCTGAGTGTCCCTGTCCCCGAATATGTCCCTGTCCTGAGTGTGTCCCTGTCACCTCTGAGCGTCCCTGTCACCTCTGAGTGTCCCTGTCCCAAGTGTGTCCCTGTCCCGAGTGTGTCCCTGTCCCCGAGTGTGTCCCTGTCCCCGAGTGTCCCTGTCCCTGTGTCCCTGTCCCTGGGTCCCTGTCCCCAAGTGTGTCCCTGTCCTCAAGTGTGTCCCTTTCCCTGAGTGTGTCCCTGTCCCTGAGTGTGTCCCTGTCCCCGAGTGTGTCCCCGAGTGTCCCTGTCCCTGTGTCCCTGTCCCTGTGTCCCTGCCCCGAGTGTGTCCCTGTCCCCAAATGTGTCCCTGTCCCCAAGTGTGTCCCTGAGTGTGTCCCTGCCCCGAGTGTGTCCCTGTCCCTGAGTGTGTCCCTGTGCTCAAGTGTGTCCCTGTCCTGAGTGTGTCCCTGTCACCTCTGAGTTTGTCCCTGTCCAGAGTGTGACCCTGTCCCTGTGTCCCTGTCCCTGAGTATGTCCCTGTCCCCAAGTGTCCCTGTCCCCGAGTGTGTCCCTGTGCTCAAGTGTGTCCCTGTCCTGAGTGTGTCCCTGTCCCTGAGTGTGTCCCTGTGCTCAAGTGTGTCCCTGTCCTGAGTGTGTCCCTGTCCCCAAGTGTGTCCCTGTCACCTCTGAGTGTCCCTGTCCTGAGTGTGTCCCTGTCCCGAGTGTGTCCCTGTCACCTCTGAGTGTCCCTGTCCTGAGTGTGTCCCTGTCCCTGAGTGTGTCCCTGGCACCTCTGAGTGTCCCTGTCCTGAGTGTGTCCCTGTCCCTGAGTGTGTGCCTGTACCCAAGTGTGTCCCTGTCCCTGAGTGTCCCTAAGTGTGTCCCTGAGTGTGTCCCTGTCCCTGAGTGTGTCCCTGTCCCTGAGTGTGTCCCTGTCCCTGTGTCAGCGTTCAGGAACACACAGAATCACAGGATATCATTATCTGCAGGTGATTTTATTGAGAGCTCTGGAGTCAGAGTCCAGACCCAAATCTGACTCTGACACGGCTTTGTACCTGAACCTATTTTATATTCCATCCTTATATACCTTATATATTTATTTGCATATTAATTATTAAATTTACATTGTTCAGGAACACAAATAATCACAGGATACGATTATCTGCAGGTGATTTTATTGAGAGCTCTGGAGTCGGGGTGCAGACCCAAATCTGACTCTGACATGGCTTTGTAACTGAACCTATTTTATATTCTATCGTTACATAACTCACATATTAATTATTAAACTTACATTGTTGTGTTGTATACATTGACATGAGTTTCTCGTGATCTTTCTTAGATCACTGGCCACAGTTTCTCATGATTATTATTCTTACATGTAACTCACATATTA